TCAGAAAAAATACTTTCAATATTTACCCCAAATCTTTTACGAACGTTGATGAATAATTTTCTTGACAAAACACGATACTTGCACGAAGCTGCCATGCATATCGTAAGATTGTTAACGAGTTAAAATATGGTTATAAAATTTTTCATCCGTATTCCTTCCTGTATCTAACATTTTTTTATATAATAAATAGTTGTCTGTCTTTGAACAAATCGTAGGAGAAAATAAAGATAAAGCTTTAATCATAGTTATACAGCTTTTAGGTCATAGTTACAACAAAAATTTCGATGGATTCTTTAATACTAAAATTATTAAGAAAATTTTTGGCACAATGGATAACGAAGCACTTGAGCAATATTTATTACATCTTAAAAAAATATTTTTGCATCCGAATGAAATTCATTTGAGGTAAATTCATTAGATTCTTATGATTTTTAAAGGAACCTCTTATTTTGAATTAATGTTTCAAAACGCAATATTTACAGTGAAAGTAGGTCAATAGAACATCATCGCCAATGGATTATAAATCATGTATACACTCTTTTAAAGGATCATCATGTAAAACGCCACGAAGGATTTTTGAAATCTGTTTTAGACTTTTTTACTATGTACGGATTTTTCACTTCAAAAGAGGCAAGAATTTTTCGTCTTATTTATTGTTTTCTTATTCAGTTGAATAGTCTTTTATATAATATTTAAATATAGGTTGAATCGCGTCCCAAAATATACAATACACGTTCTTCAAAACGGTTGAAACTCAACTCGGGAACATCCACAAATAATGTAGGAATGGTTGATAATTCCGAAGAAACTCATGTCTTGTTTGAATCACCAATACCAGAGCTTTCAGATAAAACTCAAAAGTGCCTTCGGGAACGGTTCTTTCATGCTCTTGGTGAATTGTGTACTATCCGTTCTTCAGATAAAGGTAAAGAAAGTATTATATTGTAAATATTTTATTAATGTGAAATTTTTGCATTACTTTGAAATCGAATGTTTCTCTTTCACTTTCTCAGAAAAGTCTATCCATCAATTAAATGGTACCATGAATGACGGTGTGGCATGGTCATATTATGCCGTAAACTTAATGAAAAAGTATTATGACGATTCTCGAATAGAGCCGTTGATCATTTTAAGTGATGAAGCTCAACAAATGAAAATTGATGTCATTATACTTTTACAACAAATCACTAATAAGGTATGGACACTGTTGTGTTTCTTCACACCATTATCTTATAAGATAGTAATACATTATTTAATATTTTCCAATGGAACCAAAGGTATTGAATAAACCATCAAAAAATGATTCTACAAACACCTTACAATACAAAGGTTTTATATTACTGTTCTCCTTTTCAATTCTCGCGTTGTACATTGAGCCAGACGAGTCCATGAGCGCCCTAAAGGTTAAGAATTATCTTTTTTAAATATAAAATATTTAATATATGATATTAGACTAATCAATTTATTTTATAGGATTTACGGATTTGCTATGATAGAATGTTTGATAAAAAAAAGAAACCTTCAAAAAAATTGAAAAATGCAAGTGAAAGTGATCAAAGTATGCATAATCCTGCTGATGTTATTGTAGATATTCTACTTGGATTTCTTGCAAAACCATCTTCGTTTTTGCATAATATGTCGGAACAAATATTTAAGATTTTTTGCGGCAATATTACAAAATCATCATTTGACGTAATGATTGAAGTATGTACTCTCTGTTGTTTGTGAAGATTATTAATAATAAAATATATTTAATAACTGTAACTTTGTTATTCCAGCTTTTAAACAAAAAAACGGATGATGAAGACGATCAAATGATGGATATTGACGATGAAGAAGGTAGTGGTGATGATCTAGATGATGAAAGCATTGATGAAGAACTATATAATGTAGAAATTCATAAGCCGGAAATGCAAGAATCGAAAACGCCAGGTTTGAAGACCGTAGATGG